CGCTTTCGTGACAAGCGTGGTGTGCCGCGTTGGCGGCCCGTGAGACCTGCGGAGCAAGGCCGCTATGCCATCTCTCGTAAGACCCGCTTCTTAACGTCGCTCGCATGCTTGCCTTAGCTTCCCTTCCGCTGACTCTGACCCCCAGAAGTTAGTATGCAACTCCTGTGGGGTTTAATTCTCAGTCGCCGCTGGTATTTCAGTGGTCGCGGACTGGCCTAATCTGGCTCACCCTCGCTTGATCCCGCTTAATCCAGCCCTACCCCATTGAATCTTGTGTAATCCTGGGCTTAGTCCGGCTTGATCTGGCAGAATGGCCCCTCCCTCGGGCTCAGTAGCCCTTCTGGCGAAGATCTCTCAGGAGTTGCCTCCTGACAGGAGTTTCGCCCCCATTAGCAGGCGAATGAGCAGCGTTCGCACGGGATGGCTCTCCTGAGCCGCGCACGCGCGCTGCCGCTCATGGCGGTCGGTATCTGCGCCTTTCCCGTATTCGACGTGGACGAGGGCGAGCCGTTGGCAGTGAACCCGAATCGCGGCCCTCTTGGCCAAATGGGGTCCGAGTAGCGTTGCGTGATATCCGACCCCGAACGAGACTTCTGGTGCGGTTTTGGACGTCGCTGCGGCGACGGTGGCGGCGGCATACCCCTTCGCAGCTTCCCCCCGCTCTGCGATGTAGACGCGGCTCGTCATTCAAAATGCAACGATGAACAGCTGTCAATATGTGTCCAACCTGGGCTCTCATGTTTTTGGGGTTCGTGGACGGTTATCACGCAACCAGAGTAGTTGGGGTCGGCAGCTCGTGCCGCATCGCCGATGCATCAGCGATGCGGCCTTGTGTGGAGTCTGAGCTTCTCCCGATGCATCGGCGGTGCTTCGGCAATGCAGCGGCGACGCGGTGCGATTTTCCAACCCCATCTATTCGGGCCAGATTTGAGAGACCTCCAGGCACCGCCTTCAGCTCAGTGAGCAAGTTGGATGATACCCGGGTGATTGATTGCTTCACGGACTATTTCAACAACGGTGGTGCAGGTCTTCAGAGGAAGGCGAGTGAAGGCATTGGTGGGTTTGCCTTCGGAGGGCCTATTCGTCGCCACGGCTGGACGCAGCTTGGAAAATTGGTGCGTTACCCGGGGAGCAATGTGAGTTGCCGTTGGCTCAACTCGATTTGCTCCGAAGGTACGTGCAAGATCCTCAGTGTGGAGGACATGGCGGTCACCGAGGAGGCTACCGTAGTCTTCAATGCAAACCATACCCAGTACATCAACGTGGCAGCTTTCTCCTCTACGGCTGCAGTAGTGTGCTACTTGGACCACGTCGGCACGGAGCACCTCACATGCAGATTCCTGGACGTCAGCAGCAACAGCATCAATCCCAGCGAGCCCTATACTGTGGATGACGTCGCGGTGGAGGTGTCGTTCTTGAGCATCGCGAGCCTCACGCAAGATGTCGGCGTCGTGTGCTGGTCTAAGCCGCTCGACTCGGCGAAGGACAGAGCCGGCGTCTGCAACAAGCTGACCATGGGGGAGGGAGGAGTGATCACCGTCGGAAACCTCGTGTACTTCGACCAAGACTTCTCCACCTCAGACGTGACAGTAGAGGCCTTCTCCGAGACAAGCGCGGTGGTCTGCTGGAGCGCGCAGGGCGACGGCGACTGCAGGACGCTGACCCTCTCCGACTCTGGCTCTCAGGACTCGAAGCAGAAACAATTACATAAATGTAGAATTTCGGCGTTCCGCGCTGATTCTTCGATTGGCGCTGGGCCCCCTGGGCGACGCCTCTGGCTCCGCCCCCGGCGCGCTCTGCGCGCCAGGGAGGGGGGTCAGCGCTGATCCCAGATATTACGCCACGGACCTCCGAGAGTTAATGCTTGTGCAGATGTGTTTTCTTCCCAGGACTTCGACATGGGCACGATCGGGAGATTCTTCAGTGGGGAGTCCGAGGCCTTCAAGGGCCTTGTGCTGGTGAGGTTCAACGCGTCGCGCGGCCTTGTGTGCTGGGCGGACAAGGTGGCCAAGAACCAAGTGGACTGCAAGCCGCTGCTCATCGACGGGTCTGACCTCGGCTTCGGGGACGCGGGCGCGGTGACCGCATTCCCGTCTCTGCACTTGACCGCGGACGCGATTACCGAGGATGCCGCCTTGGTGTGCTACTCGGCCGACCCAGAGGGCAGCGTGCTCGACACCGAAAATTTCGATGGAAAGGGCACCTGCAACATCGTGGGCTTGGCGGATGGCGACTCTGTCGTCGGTGCTGGCCCCCCGAACGAAGTGAATTCGGGCACCACGCAGTTCCTGGCTGTGGCCACGGCCAGCTTCGACGACCGCTCCGCGGTGCTGTGCTACTCGGACGGCGGCGCAGGCAGCGGCAGTTGCAAGGCTCTCGGCATGGCGGAGACGTCCACCTCCTCCACCTCCTCCACGGAGACCACGGAGTCCACCACGGAGTCCACCACCACGACCCCACACACCACCTCAGAGACCAGCACCGTCTCGGGGACCAGCACCACGTCTCTGCACACGACCTCGGCGACTTCCACCACCTCGTCGGCCCACACCACCACCGTCACCACCGTCACCCACACTCTCACCCAGCCCGAAGATCCAATTTCAGGAAGCTTGGCGCCGGACTTGTGGGGAGTTGGCGTGGCGTTGCTCGCGGCGACCGGGGTCACGTTGTGTTGAGACAGCGCAGTGCGCTACGGTGACACAAGATTACCAGTTAGCCACATGCAGCACGCCTATCGCAGATCAGATTACGAGCGGCAATGACCGTGAATTAGTCAGCGTTTCCCTATGACCGTGAAAGGGTCCAGCGAAAGGAAAGCATGCGTCAAGGGCACCTCGTGAGCTCTCGGTTCCGTTACCGCCTTTCCGAGCTGCGGTCATTGGGCGAAGGATGCGATGTGCCCTTGCAAGGAAGCAGGGGGGCGGGATTGAGCGTCAAGGTTGAGGCGCCTCACTTGATTTGCTTCCCGTTCCGTCGTCAGTGGTCCGAGCTGCCGGCCCGATCTGGACCCTCGTGATGGGCCTTGCCATCCACGTGCCCATGCATGCCCCTGTTTGCAGCAGACTGGGCATCGGCGCAAGCAGAGGGCAGCATCCTGCGGGGATCACCCGCAAGGAGGCAGACTGTCCAGACGCGGCGTGAACGTATGGACGATCACCGTGGTTACCTCCCGCGTTCCCCAGCCTTTAGGTCCCAATTCTCTGACTCCAGGTCCCATCTTTCCGATTGCGGCGTCCGCCCAGAGAGCGCCAGGCCTGTCGCGAGTCCGTGTGTGCAGTGCTTCGCCGCCTGAGCGCGCGTGCGGACTGCCTCTGCCGCGCTGCGACGTAAAAGTGTGATGTGCATATGGACGCTTCGGCCCAACCCAACAGCACCCGCGCGGTGCATGATGCAGGCTCTGTCCTGTCTTGTCCTGTCCTGTCCTTCCCCATCTCCATGCCTCTTTTCCTCAGGCTCCCATCTCCCGCCTGTTTGCATCCAGCGGGGGCAGGCGCGATAGAACACAGCGTCTAGGCGAGAGGGCATATTCAAGTGCCGTGGCTAGCCTTGACGACAAAGTAGATGCACATGCGGCCGCGTGATTTAGCGCCCAGCCCTCGCAAGGCAGTGGCAAGGTGCATTCCACATCTCCGATATATATATATATATATATATATATATATATATATATTGTGGAAAACGCGGACCTCCAGAGGCCAGAGGTCTCGAGCCGTGCCCCCCAGGGAGATTTTGCATCCCGAGTCGATATCTGAGGGTCTTTATGGCCCGCGGAGGGCCCCGGGAGGCCGAGCACTGCCAAAAGCCTCCCGCCGTTACACTTTCGTTCGACGAGAGGAGGCCTGCCTGGCTGGGTGCTCGTGATGTGGCCGGCCTGGGCGAACACGTGGACGCACGAGCGGTCGCCTTTCGGTACGACCGTCACGGGTACGGAAATAATCGGGGCCAGGACCAGTGGCAGTTTTTGCTCAGTGTGGAAGAACTCGCTGCCTGTGTCGCCGCGGGCGATGTCCGTTCGAGAAACCAGGTCGACTGCCCGACAGCGGCCGCTCGTCGTTTTTGACAAAGTTTGCTGTTTGGCATCATGCCCATTTCTTCGGTACGGTCAAGATGTTAGGTTTACCTTGAGTACGTTCGGAGCTTGAGTACTTTAGGGCTGTCTTAAATGCATTTGAGTTGTCTTTGAGTGCGGTCGAGTAGCGTTGAGTACGTTCGAGTTGTCTTGAGTACTCTAGAGTTGTCTTGAGTACATCAGAGCTGTCTTGAATGCGTTCGAATTGTCTTGGGTACGCTAGAGTTGCGTTGAATACGTTAGGGTTCTCTTGAGCACGTTAGTGTTGTCGTGACTACGTTGAGTGCAATAATGTGTCGCCAAGTACATATGGTGCAATCTATATGGCCCAGTACATGTGGTGGCCTCTGTGGGCCGCCAGCGAGCCCCAAGCCTCGGCGAGAAGCCAACTGATTGCCTTCGCATGTACAACCGCCGCGAAATGCACCGAGCGCTCGCCAAGCATCCGGCGATTCAGGCGTGCTATTCTTGTTGCTCGACAACCTCGTCCACACTGAGATGCTTGGCACTTGTGTTTTCATCGGTTTGCAGTCCTATGGCGACGGGGCGAGGCAGCCCTTCCGCGATGACGGCTATTCCATTGTCTGTCAGATCGGCATTGTTCAGCTCGTCCGCTCGGGCCTGAATCCTTTGGAAGCGCAGGGCCGCGGCTTTGCGCACGTTCACGGTAAGTACACAGGCGTACCCCGCTGCTGGGCTGCTCGCCTCAAGACTCTTTTCAACCAGCCGCCGCTGCTACAAAACACGGCGGCGACGAGCGCGCAACGTTTTGCGACCGAGCGCGCCATGAGCACTTGCGCGCGGCGTCCGCGCTCCAGTACGATTATGCAGTGTTGTCCGGGCGGCAGGTGGGTGTCCCGCTGCTGCCCGAACCGTGTTGTGCGCAACAGCAGCGCTTCAGTCGGCTTGACGGCTTGCCGGAGAGGAGATGGACGACGACGGCCGCGCCCAGCAGTATCTGCCCGTCGCGGAGGCAGAGCCGAGATTCCACGTGAAGGCCGAGTTGCGTGCTTTTGTCGCAAAGCTGCGCATCTTTCGGGACGCATACAAGAAGACCAGAGCAATTCAGAGCATGATGCCGTCCTACCGCCGTTCCACAAGCTTCAGTCGCATTCGCGTGCCGGACGAGTTGTTCGGCCACTACTCCAGTGAGGGCGGCGGGGATAACGGCGCCGTCTGCGCCTGCGTTCTGGAGTCAGACGGCGAGGTGGCGGGCGCGCGGCTGCCGTCAGGAGCTCCTGCTTCGGAAGAGGGCTTGGCCGCCGACGCCGCGGCGTGGGCCACAAGCTTCGCTCGCGACCAGCGCGTCTTTTTCGTGCAGAACCACCATAACCGCGAGTGCACTGCCACTTGCGTGCAGCATCTGCAAGGACAACAAGCGATTGTATACCCAACTTTAACGTGGGACTTACATAGGTCATTTGGCGGTGAGGACAGGGGTGATTGAAATGGTGTTTTCATTGGTGCGAAATTCGGCGGCCAGACACAACTCCCAACCAAAACCGCTATCAATGCGATGTGCACATCGCCAGAGAAATCGCGTTGCGGGCGCGTCGGAGATGAGCGCGCGTGAGAGATGCAGCAGGCGCCTCGACCAAAAACGCGCAAGTCTTGTGTAGAGCCAAACGGGGGTTTCGTCTAAGCGCCGTTTTGTCTACGTGTCTTGAGCCAATCGTCGTTCCAATCACTTGGAAATCTGCGCCCGCCGATCTGGGGGAACTGGGCGGTTTCATCGCCCATCCGTTCACCCGTTAGGGAGCCGCCGAGCCCGTGGAGCACAACATCTACCGCTCTGCATGTCGAGCGCGCCGATGCTGCGCTGTTCGCCAAGGCTCGCCGCCTGGGACCTGCGGGCGAATTGCCGGGCATCGGCGGGGCTCGGCATGCGAAGTGATAGATGTATGTGACATGCCAGCTTGGCAGTCCCCAGACTGATGAACGGGCGGGCGATGGAACCGCCAAGTTCCCTCAGATCGGCGGGCGCAGGTTTCCCTGGCTTTGGGGCGACGATTAGTCCAAAACAAGAAGTCAACCGCGCTAGGCCCCCCTGAATATATATGCGCTCTCTACGGAACATGCCTTGCTGCGTTTCCCGCGCGCGCCCGCCCCCATAGCGTTCGCCGCATTCATTTCCAGTCGGCGCGCGCATCGCAGTAGCGAAAGCTTCGTTTAGGGATTAATTCTGGCAGCGCAGCAACGCACCCATACTTAGGGATTAATTCCGGCCCGAAGCGGGGTCCCAGGAAGGCCCCAATACCAATCCAAGAGCGCGCTGCTCCGCGGGAAGCCCGGTAGCCCACTGAATGGGATGGATAGAAGATTGCGCGCCATATGTCACCCCATTGAGTGGGATAATCGCCCAGGCGAGCTACCGCCGTCTGGCGACAGACGGCGCCAGAGAGGTTATCCCACCTAGTGGGATAGAGGATGGCGCCAACGAAGTGGTTTGCGGATGACCCCGAGAGACACCAAGAGCCCAAGAGGATTTCAAATGGGCACCAAAACTGGCCGCGGAGCCTCCAACATTGCCCGGCGAAGGCCCCGCGATGCCCCCAAGAGGCGTGCTTCGCAACCACGTGGTCGTTAACATTGGTGCGTCGACGATCAAAGGGCTGTCAGCACGTGCCCGACTGCGCTCGCGCACGGGTTTCAAAAACATGCGTTTGTTGTTAATGATTCGCCTTTCACGCGCTCGCGTTAACGGCCGAGCGGCCGCTCGCGCGCCCGCGATCACGGCCGCGCGGCCGTTAACACGGGCGCGTTGCCGCTCACGCACGGGGCTCGACCATTTTAATGTTCCAGTCGTTTTTTTCAAGGCTTGCCGTTAACGCGCCCGTGATCACGGCCGCCCGGCTGTTGGCGCGCCCGTGGTCGCGGCCGCCTGGCCGTCGGCGCGGGCGCGTTCACATTTAGGCGCGGGGCTCAAAACGTTGATTTTCATTTGTTATTCAATGGTTTTCCGCGAGCGCGCCGCGATCGCGGCCGCGATCGTGGCCAGGCGGCCGCGGTCACGGGCGCGTTTACGGCCGGGCGGCCGCGATCGCGGCCGCGATCACGGCCAGGCGGCCGCAATCGCGCCCGCGTCAACGGCCAAGTGGCCGCGGTCGCGGCTGCCCCAAACGCCCCCCCGAACAGGTGAAAACATGGGCGCGCGGAAGGGCGCGCGGCAGGGCGTGCGTCGCGCTTGCATTGTGCTCTACGTTCCCAAGTAGCGTTTGCACTGAAAGAGCCCCTGAGAAGCTGAGATTTTTTCGCGCGAACCAAGCCGATCTTGGTGAGCGGGTGGGCCCCCCCTTCCCAGTGTCAGGGCCCCGGGTCCGGGGCCTGCGGCGTCGGGCCCTGGGCCCTGGGCGGAGTGGCGTTCTCGGGCGTCCAAATGTTGGCTGCCGCCCGCGCCCTGGTCCGTTGCGCCCGCGAGCAAGAAGAGAGCTTGGGTGGCAAAGTGGGCAGCGCGTTTCGAAGCTCACGGGGTCAAGTGGATAGTGGAAAACTTTGAATGGGGATTTCCAGCGGACGCCGATCAACCTGATCTGAAAGTTTTGGACATGGAAGTAGGAAGACAGAAGACAGCGCAAAGAGGGCGATAGAAATAGAAATACAGATCGAGAGAGAGAGAGAGAGGAGAGAGAGAGAGAGAGAGAGAGAGAGAGAGAGAGAGAGAGAGAGAGAGAGAGAGAGAGAGAGAGAGAGAGAGAGAGAGAGAGAGAGAGAGAGAGAGAGAGAGAGAGAGAGAAAGAGAGAGAGAGAGAGAGAGAGAGAGAGAGAGAGAGAGAGAGAGAGAGAGAGAGAGAGAGAGAGAGAGAGAGAGAGAGAGAGAGAGAGAGAGAGAGAGAAACATAATATTTATATATATAAACAAAAAACGCAAACTGCGTCTGGGTCCTTCGCGAGGCTGAGTTTATTTTTGGGTGACATATCGTCTCGAGCACTGGTAGCTACCTAGCGCTATCCGCGGCGAAGTAAATCTCCTGGGCATGGTCGAGAGCCTAGGGCCCCCGCTGACCAGAGAAACCAAAACGCGCGACGTTCACTCCTTCCTCGTCCCTCTTCCCCTTGCCCTCCTCATCTTCGTCCTCTGGCGCGCCTTTCCTCCGTCCGTCGCCCCTTTGGTTCGCGTCCGTGGCGTCCTGCCCAGGACATTGCGTTCTAGCGCGCGGGCGTCGTTGCGGCCTCCGAGGGGCGCTCCCGCGGCGGGGGCGCGCATGGGCCGATCGGTTGGTGTTCTGGATTCGCGCTGGCCGCGGACCAGGACTTAGCTCGGCGTTCGTGGGCTGCGGCGGGATCAGTTCAAACCGTTGTTCGCATTCTCTCGGTTTGTAGTTCTTTTCTGCCGTCGATAGGGCATGGGGGGCCGTGTTTCTTTTTCTGCGCTTGATTCGGTGTAGTTTTCGCAAGTTGATCGATGGTTTTTTCTGGGCGGTTTCAGGGCCCCGTCGGACTTGTCCTGGGCCGCCGCGTTCGTTGTCTGCGGGGGTTCGTCCATTGCATTTGTTTTTTTGGGGGGTTGTTGGAAGCCGCGCGTTGTCCCCCCCCGCGATGTTAAGCCATCTTGGCGGCCTAGGCGGCGCGCCATGTCGGTCGCGGCTGCTTCGGGGAACCCCGCAGAGCACTGGGCGGCGCCGGGCCGCCAGAAGGGCGCTTGGAGGAGGGCCAACGCGCGCGGGGTCGAGCGATGACAGAGGATAAGGCTCGCAAGCGGATCGTAAGTGCGTTTCCAACGCCTCGTGTTGTTACAGACCCGCGCCGCGCAGGCGCGAGAGCGGATTCCTCCTCGGGCGGAGGCGCGCGGTTGCAAGGGGCGAGAGTCGGCGGCGGCAAATGGGGCAACGCGAGCGCGCCCTCCATCTTGTTGCACTTGCATTCGCGTTCGCCCGCTGCTCCGCGTGGGACTTCGGAGAAACATCGTTGCCCGCCGCGCGGCAAGCGACGGCTCTGCCGCCGGTGCCGCCCCCCGCCCTTCGCCCCATTCCCGTTTCCTTGCAGCCCCGCGCCGTTCGCGGCGGCGGCTTCCGCCGCCCCGCGCCCCCGCCGCCCAAGCCCCATGGCGGGGGCGCCATGGCGGGCGGGAAACATACAGGGCAACTCGGATTGAGTATTACAACGAAAGAACAACTAAAGTCGAGCACACGCGGATGAAAATCCCACCGCAACTGGAAAGGTTTAGTTTCAGACGGTCGCTGCGAGCGTCGCTCGGGCACCCGTTCGATCACCCTTCTGCGCGCCCGCCCCCGCGCCCTTCTTATCCCCGAGGGTTCCACGTCTGAGTTGACCATGCAAACAAGCGACTGCTCGACCCAGCCAGAAACTGACCTCCGCCAGAGTGCCCACATTCCGTTTCGATCTGTCTCATGGACCAGCGCACGCGCTACGAAGTGCGTTATGAGACGCGGCAGAGAGCTCGCCCCCAGCATGCCCATCGCCATTGGAAACGATCAGAACGAACTGGGCAAGGCCATTCCCGTGCGCACGATGCCTTCTACGTCATCGTCTTTCGGCGTCCTGCAGGCGGCGCTGCGGCCCAACGCTGACTACTAGTGCCAGGAGAGAGGCATTCCGGGCGCGGAGGCCCAGGCCTTTGCCACAGGGGATGGCGGCGCAGCTACAGAGCAAGCCAGCGTCGCTTTCCCGTTGTTCGGCTGTCGCCGCGCTCGCGGCGCCCTCGCTCGAGCTGCGGCCGCGACGCCGGCGGCCGCTATCCAGCGAACGTGGCAGACTTCTACGCGGCGAAATACCAGTCCAAGCCGCGGGGGGAGCCCGCCCCCATCTTGCGGCCTTGCAGCCCTTCATCGCAGACGCGCGCCGCGTCGAGCAGGGGGGGGGCGCGTCTCGCTGGCGCGCCCAGCGCCGAGATAGACTCCAAGGGCGCAGCCGCAGCTGCGGAGGAGCGCGCGCGAGGCGCCGCACTGCCGGGAGCGGCGGCGCGCAGTGGTCGCCGCTTCGCGTTCCGCGCAAACCGCGCGACGCGGTTCTCGCCGCGCGAACTTGCCGTTTAAAAGATGAGTGGAACTTCCGCAGCGAGCGCAGAGTTCATCATCGAGACTTCCTCTGGCAGAGGCTTTGCGATGATGCGCGAGCGCAAGCGGCTGCTGAACCGCAGCGCAGCCGTTGACGGGCCGCTCTTTTCCCGGGGCACGGGCCCGAGGACCTCGCGACGCCTGGGCGCCCCACGTCATGGTTGCGCCGCGCCCTGCGACAAACTGGCGCGGCGAGGGCGCGCGCTCCGCCGCGGGCGAAAGCTCTGCGCCCAGCGAGTCAATGGAAGAAGACGAAGACGACGAGTCAGCTGCAACGCCGGCGCCGACGAGGACAAATGCGATCCGCGCTTGCTCTTTGGAAGCGGCGGGCAGGAGAAGCGGGGTCGGAATCAAGTTTTCGCGAAGACCTTCAGCCGTCGCGATGATTGTCTGCGCAGGGGCGGTTCTCTCTGCGTTGCGCGCGACTCGTCGGCAGAGTGCCCTTCCCATGGGCAGGCGGCCCGGATCTGGTCCCTGAGCGAGTGGGTGTCTGGCGCTGCTTCGACAGCCACTGCTTGCAGCAGCGGCCACGCGCGCGCTCGCGCGCGCGGAGGGGCGAGCGGCTGCGTGCCGCGCTGGTCGCCCACGCGACGTCCGCAGAGACGTTTGGACATTGGTGCCGACGTTCGGTCCTGCGTTCGACGACGCGCCCAGCAGCTGCCAGGCGCGGCGTCGACGCAACCGCCACTTGGGATCGAAAGTCGCCGCGCAGCTGGCTCGCCAGGCCGAAGCTGCACGCCGCGCGCGCGAGTTCTAGGACGCCCGCATACGGCGTTACATATGACGACGACGCCGCCGCCCCCCCCCCCGCCGTTGCTGTCTTCGCAGAAGAAGCCGCGCTTCTGCCACGGAGCGCCGCGCCTCGCGTTCGCGACCGCGGCCCTCTCGCCCTTGCTGAGCGCCTGGCGGGCGCCGCCGCGCCCAATGCTGATCAGCTCGGAACCGTCGCTCTCCTGGCCGCGGATATGCAGCGAGCGCGGGGATCGCAGGGCCGCCCAAATCGCGCGGCGCCCGCGCGCTGCCGGGCGCCGGGCGCCGCTGCCGGGCGGGGGCGGCCGCGGCGAGACTCGCGTCGTGAATGTGGTTCCCGCCGCTCTCTTCGCGGAGTCCTGGGGCGACGACGGCTTCGTCGAAGCTGCGCCGTCCAGCTGGGCAGCGCGCTGCACTCCAGGGAAAGCGTCGCGCGCCGCGGCGGAATGGGAAGCAGCGCTCTCGACGTCAAATCTCAGAGCTACTCTGAGAAATCAACGATAGCCCCGCGTTGTCTGCGCGCGCGCGTCGCGGCGCTGCGATCATCGACGAAACGCCGCGGGGCGCGGGGCACCTGCGCTGCGCCCGGGCCGCGCGCTGCACTCGCGCCCGCGCGGCGCCCCGCGGACTCGCCGCGGCCGAACGCGCCGAGCCAGCGGGCGCCTCCGGCGCCGCGCCGATAGCAGAGGGGCGCGGCGACGATTTCCAACTGCCCCCGACCCCTTCCGCCACAGGTCTCTTCGCAGAACTCGACGGCGCTTCCGCTGTCCACTAGGCGGGCGCGGGCGCCATCAGGCAGAAGGCCTGCGTCAATCGGCAGACTGCTATGAAGAGATTGACCGCCCTGACCCTCGTCGCCCTGCTCGCGGGGGCGCGAGTTGCAATGCGGCCGCAAGCTTGCGCGCCGGGAGCGGGGCGCCTTGAGAGAGCAACTGACATTGCAGAGCTGCCTGTTGCGGAGCGGCAGCTTCGCTTCGAAGGCGCCGAGATGCGGCGCCAATCCGCCTTCGCGCGGGCCGCCGTGGCCGCGGCGCAGGCGCCGTGGTTGCGCGGCAAATTTTCCGCGCAGCAGGCAGCTGCCATTTTGCATTCTGCGCCGACGCAAAACTTCGCCTTGAACCGCCCGCAGAACTCACGCCTCACCATCGCCCGCGTCGCGGGGCAGATGGCGGCCGCCTCAGACATGAACCCGACCGGCAGGCCCCCGAGCATCGCCATGCTTCACTTGGGCGCGATCGCACGCTCGACGAAAGCGGCGGGTCCGCCGGAAGCGGTCGCAGACGCAGCTGAGCCATTTTCCAACGCCCGACGCGTGCTTCGGAAGCTGTTCGCCAGGTCCCTGCGAGATCGCTCGGCGCTAATTCTGTCGCGCCTGCGGGTTTCATGTTTGTTGCCGCCGCGCCCGCCGACGCACGAGAGCGGCGCGGCCGACGGCGGCGAGGGCCCTCGGCCACCCGAGCATGCACCTGCTGATGACGAGCGCCCTCGGCCAGTCGAGGGCGCGCTCGCTGCCGACGACGAGCGCCCTCTGCCGCCCGAGGACATGCCGCTCGAGGACATGCCTGCTGCTGATGGCGGGCGCCCTCTTGCCATCACCCCTGAGCCAAGGCGCTTTCTGGCATGATCCGGCGGCGTTTCCCAGCCCGCGTCAGAATCGCTCAAGATATCGGCGACAGCGCCAGCGCCCTCTGCGCGGCATTCCGAGTGCATGGCTACCCGTGCAACGGCAAGTTTCTGCTGACAGTCAAAACACTGACCGAGCGTGCCAAACAGTGCAACGCAACGGGGCGCGCCGTGGACTCTCGGGCACAGTTGGTTAGCTGCATTGTCCCGGCTTGTGCGCGCGCGTTCGTCTAGGAGTTCCCTTGAAAGGCTCATCCGAGAGGTCAAAGATGGAAATGGCACGCTGCAGACATTTTTCCGCCGCTGCGACGAGGCGCCCACGACGATGGCGATATCATTTTGCCAGCGGCAATTTCCGCCGCCGCGCCGTCCCAGATGTCTCGGCGGCCTTTGCGCGACCAGGCGCGGGTGCATCAGCTTGCAACGCGTTGTATCTTTCGGCTTGGTGGTTGCGATGTCAGCGATGGCGATCGCGATGACTATGGTGATGCCGGTGGTGATGATGTCGCATGCGACGCCGACTGAAGCTGCGCACGCGGCACCCCTGCCTCTCTGAGCCCAGGCGCCCTAACCTCACGGAGGCGTCGCACGCGACGCTTTTGTCGCGTTGGACCGGATGGCGACGGAGCAGGCGATGACGATGGCGCCGCGGGCCCCGGCGCCGATGAAAGATGATGGCGATCTCCCGCGAGGCAGGCGCCGAGGCCGCCGCGCGCGACGCCTCGGCCGTGCCGGGGGGGGGAAAGATGGCGGCGACGATGGCGAGGGGCGAGGGGGAGGAGGAAAGGGGGGGAAAAGGAGCAAGAGGAGGAGGAAGAAGAGGATGATTGTTACGCGTGACACCTTCCGTCTTTATTTCTCGGGGAGCTGAGAGCGCGCTCGGGGAAGTGGTCGGACGATATGCTTATCTGTAAACAACGTTGCTTCCAGCCCATGGGGTTTTCAACGTTGCAGCTTTCTTTGGCGACGTTGAGGTCATCCGAGATCGTCTTGGAAGCCTGCGTGGAACCAGCCTTTTACACATCCAGCATTTTCGAGGATGTCTCGGGCGGGAACCTGGCAAGCTTGAAGTTCCGAGGGTTCGGCCGTTCATTTCAACGGCAGCGTTTTTCTTCGGCCGTCTCATGCGACTCACTCATGTTTGGCATGATGCGCCTTAAGAAAAGTCCCCATCACTCTGTGATTTGGCGAGGATGTCTCAGGCGAAACGCCCACTTTCCGCAGGGCCGTGCGAACTTAGCCCAGCGCCACTAGAAAGGCGGGGGGGGGGCTAGAAGACCATCGCACAAGGCATCGCCAGGGGGCGCGTCGGCGGTTCGATCACGGACGCGCTGCATGGCTTGCCCGCAGCAATTGTAGATCACGGCGCTGCCGCTTTTGACGGGCAGGTCGAACGGAGCTCCGGCGTCGCGAAAGTCCTTCAGGCCGAGGTCGCTGTTTCTGCGCTATTGGAGCTCAGCGGTCGTTGGCTTGTTCTCACGGGGCTCCCGGAGTCCGACTCAATCCCTCGGCCGGGGATCGCCGAAGTTTATTTCCAATGTGAGTGCGTTGTTGATCAGGTGTCGGGGCTCGGCGAGTTGTCTCGCGAGTTCTTGCGGCGCCGCAGCATTCGCGCAACAGGCCGCGAGGGCGCCGCGGCCAAGGCGAGACGGACAAGGCTGCAGACCCTCAGAACCTTGGACCCCGACTCAGTGGGCATCAGCACCCCATGATGCGTGCACATTCAATCGGGCAATCGTGAATCGGCGTTTGTCTGTTGACTCTGGAGACCGCGTGAACACCTTCATCTACACATGCATTCAGAGCTTGAGTCTCGGGAGCCACCGACGACTGTTCAAGACGGCGTTGAGACGAACACCTTTGAATCTACCCTATGTCGATAACGTTTCACCTGTTGGCGCGAAGTCCTTGAACATGTGGCGCGCGACGCGCATGTTGCCCAAGTCGAACGAGAGCGCCGAGGGGGCAGCTCGCTTGGCATCGCTGGGGGTCGAAGGACGATGCGGCGACAAGAGTCGCGCCATTGGGCCTGCCACTGGGGCCTGATTCAGGGGCGCCCCCCCGCCGGGTTTCCCAGGCAGATCTTGGACGAGAGGCGAAATCGCTCCTCGGTGGGTCGCGCTTTTGATGATGATTGGAGTGTTCCGAGATGCTTATCAGTGCTTCATGGGTTTGGTCGGGTATGTGACCCCTCGGGGCGCCGTTGGTGACGCTCCGCCCCCTGCTCATGGCCCCGACGGCCTCGTGCCCGTAGGTGACATTGGGCCCGATGGTGGCGAAATGGCCGTGGATGGAAGTCAGCGGGCTGGGCTGCCCGACCTCGAGGACCGCGGCGGCGGCGCGGGAGATCCACGCGGCAACGGCGCAACGGGGGGCATTTGTAGCGACGCGAGGCAGCGAGCGCAGAACTCATTCGATGAGCAAAAGCAGGAGCAACACCGATTCAGAACTGCAGCGGTCAAATGGCCACTGTCTGGATATGCGCTTGCATATTGTCTACCATTCAGTGTTTGCGCATTGCCACGGCGTCGCTGCCATGAAACGCAGCCCGTGGGTCGCCGGCAAGGAATGCGACGAGGCCCAGCGAGTCAAGTCCAGCAAAAGCCGGAGAGCGTCATGAAGTCATTGTAACGCAATGGGACTCCAAAGTGGTGGGCCCGATGAATGTGCCTCTCGTTCCGACGGACGTTCTTTTCGCTCGGTCGACGCCTGCGAGCGCAGAGTTGAACGGAAGTTCGGCGAGTATGTGGAGCAGCTGCGTCAATCGGAACCTCGGTGCGCCCTGGCGTGCCCTTCTCAGATTCTGTCGTCGCGGACACGCATAATTATCACATTGTCTCGCAGCGAGGCCATTTACCACGAGCTGTCCGACGCCGAGAGCAATTGCCCTTATAAGTGCATTGCCGTCGTCCTCCATCATTAGCTCGAGGACGAGACCATCGCGGATGCAGCCTGCCACGGGCGTCTCGACCGCGGCGACGCCGCAGAGGCCAATCTCGACCTACTGGCGATAGGGATCCACGGGAGGAACGAGGCGGCCTCGGCCCGTTGGGCCAGCGAATTGTTGAGTTCTCGTGCTGATGTTGTGTTTGGTGCCCGCTCGTATCAACCCAACCATCCCGAACGCATTTAGACATTTGGACTGGTTCGACTTTGTCTTTCGTTTTAGCTTCACATGCGGCTCATGGGTGGACATAGCTTGAGTTGTTGAGTTTAGGAATCTTGGTCCTGATCTGTTTACACAGATTTTACATGCAGGATGCAGTGTTGGTCCCAAGGGAGTTGTCTTTTGACGAGCCCAATTGTGAGAAACAATCACGACGTCGGAGATCAGGGGAAGGAGGAGGGGGTGGGCGGAAAACCAATTCCTTGTTGAGAACGCCGGCGATCCCCCCACGACGCACAAGGGACCAGATCGCGGACAAACCAATTCAGAGGACGAGGCGTGCGCTCGCGTCCTGTGGTCGCAGATAGCCTCCTCGGCGTTTCTATTTCCTCTTCCAAAATGTGCTTTGGAATCAGGAGTACAATTCAAATGGATCCCCTGGATCTCCGACGCCGCTATCCTCTCCCAGCGTGGATTTCCAGAGGTGTAGACCACTTCCACCGCAGGCCAGTTCTCCATCCCAAGTCCGGTGACGGTCCTGAGCCGGCGGCCTTGGGCCTTCTGCGGGCCAGGGGTTTTCAAAGAGTGTTTCAGGGTGATTGCACGGGGCTAGGACGAGGGTATCCGTTCCAGAGCGTTCCAGAACGCTCTGAGGAGGCCGCGACGCCCGATACATCCCCCAGAGCCGCTGGATATCAGAATTCTTGAGGTATCCTTACCTGAACTTGTCCTCGTGTCTTGGGGATAAGCCCGAGGATCCCCGAGTTCCTTCCAATCATGGCCCCGCCGTCTCAGGACAACGGAACTCTGGGATACGCTTCTAGAGAGCTGTACAGACGCACTTTTGTCGAGGATGAGCGACCACCCATCGAATATCACCGAGCCTTGCGCCGCAAATTAACTGCTCAGTCGAGAGGCCCACCGAGTTGGGAATGTGGTTGCGAGGGGATTTAGTAGAAGTTGCGCTCTGTGCGCGCCATCATGATGGGCGTCCTCACTGTAGGTGCGAGTAGTCGTGGCGCTTGCCGCAGGTCCTGCGGAGCCGCTGGCTCAGCCGTCCTGGCTCAGACACGGTCGCACCCGGGCATACACACTCACACTTGGAACAGCCGCGGCCTGCTTCTGCCATGAGGTTTTCGGCGTTCTCCCTCTTCGTGCTTGTCTGCTGCGCTGCCCAGCCGGCCAGCTCCCTCTCTGCTGCCGAATCGTGGCCTTGGAGCAGGAAGAAGGTCGAGCGGGCCCCGGTGCAGAAGGTCGAGTCCGTCGCGAAGCCCGAAGAGGACATCTTGGGTGAGCTCACAAAACCTGGGTGTTACATGAGGATGGCTTCTGGGTGCCCCAAGAAGCCCATGAGGACCGAGCTGTGGAGGCACGACTCATGGGCCGAGAGGGACGGCGTGAACGCGACGGGGTGCAAGCTGCGCAAGCAGGTCTGGGACAAGTATTGCGATTCGAGCGACGCGCAGATGGCTTTCGTCGCCGACCAGGTCCGCACGCAATGATGGCGGTGCCCCCCAGCCAGTGAGCACTTGTGTTCTTGGCAGTTGCGCGTCCCGTGGTAATCTAAGTCAGTCTCTTATTATGACTTTTGCGTGAGCCAGATCTTTTGACTCCTGCTGTTTGGATGGCCATGCGCAAACAAAAGGCTGAATACCGCAAGCCACCACAAGCTGGCCCTTGGACTAGCGCGAGGGAGGGAGGAGGAGGAGGAGGACAGGCGGATGCGGAGGAGCAGTAGCAGGATGGGAGGAGCAGGCTCGGAGCAGGAGCAGTTTCCAGTTGCCTGCGGCCAGTCCCGCCACCGTGCCAGCCCATCATCATGTGTGGCGAGTGTTCAATGATCGCACCGGTAGCCGTAATGTGTGACACCTTGTGTCCCGAGGCTTTGAGAAGCCATGAAATCTGACACGATGTTCCGCTTCGTGTCGACGTGTCTCCCTTCGTGTTCGTCGTTGCTGTCCGTCTTTCTTCTTCTTCTTCTTCTTCTTCTTCCCTTCTCCTCTCTTGCGCACTTGTTGCCTCTCTGGGCCCTCGTGGGCCGTCTAGGGGCCATCTTGTAGGTCTGGGCCTTTTTGGGAAGGCGCATGGCCGGCAAAGCGATACGCGAAATTGTTTGACACATTTGAAGGACCCACTGGTGCTTACATTCTTAGGCCGTCTTGAGATCATCTTGGGCTCTCCTGTGCTTTCTTGGGGCAGTCTCGGGCTGTCTCGGAGGCAGTCGTGGCCTGCCTCGGCCATCCAGGAAGCCATCTCGGACGCCTTGGGGAGTGCCAGGGAATCGTCGGACCACCTAGCGAGCCTCGGCAGGGGGGGGCGCCTGGGCGCTTCTTGTTTTTTTGGGGGGGCCCTGAGTAGATTATTGAGACCCTGTCATACAGCACTTGTCATTATATCGCGCCTCAACGTGCCAGGCCAGGGGGCACGGGGGCGGATAATGAGGGAAAGAAAGGGAGGAGGCGGGTGGGGAGGAGGAGGAGGAGGAGGAGGAGGAGGAGGAGGAGAAGGAGGAAGAGAAGGAGGAGGCGGTCGCTGCTCAGAGGAGTCGCTTGCGCTGGCATGCGCTATGGGAGAGGCCAAGGCAGGTGGGATACATGGTGACATGAACGAGCTGTTCGGTGTACCTGAAGATCTGTACGGTGGTTCAGGGACCATTGAGTAGTGCATGAGGGAGTCATTAATCGGAGCGACTCATGGCGAGGTTAATGACGAAAACGCAAGCTGCGATAATACTGTGGTATACCTCTCTGTATGTATTTCGTTATGGTTGTTTGTTTGCGCGTCTCTCTCTCTCTCTCTCTGTCTATTTCGTTATCTCTCTCTCTCTCGTTTTCTCTCTTTCTCTCTCTCTCTCTCGTTTTCTCTCTCTCTCTCTCTGTCTTTCTCTCCCTCTCTCTCTCTGGTTCTTTCCTTCCTTCTCTAGACTGTATTTATAGAGAGGTAATCATGCATACACTGCCCTCGCCCCACCCTGTCACCTCAGAGGACTCTCGGATGCTGCTCGGGGTTTCGTAGCCTGGTATCTGGGTCAGAGGATTCAGGTGGTACCGGAGTGAGTCAGATCGGTCCTATCAGGCGTGGATCTTTTGGACATGGTTTGTCTGCCAGAAGCACTATGCCGCACGTGGTACCCCAGTGAGGGTTGGGGGCATAATGGTACCCCGCGATTTTAAGTTCATATTGCAGAGATGATGGCAGCGATGATGACGATGCTTTGGGCTCTCGGTGATGCTTGTGATGACGACGACGATGGTGCTTGCTATCTCGGGCTCTCGGGGACGGGCGATGAGGATGAGTGGCATGAGGAAGGGAACGGATGGAATCTCGACGATGGCGATGATGAGGATGAGAAAATCTTTCTCCTCCACATCTCATTATCGTTTCCCTTATCGTCTCCATCCGAATTCTGATCATTACCCTCACCCTGCCAAGGGTCCACCACATTCTCGTCATCATCCACCCCCCCCTCCTCGGCCTCTTTATCGTGCGTCTCCCACTGCTCCTGTTACCACTCCCCCTCCTCAGTCTCCCCAGTATCCTCCTCGTTATCCCCGCCTCTTACACCTCATCCGCAGCCTCTGTCCACTCATCTGCTACATGGCGCCAGAGTCGATGGGCATGTGGCGCTTTCGGCTCTACTCCGTGCTCGGTGCTTCTCTTTTCCCCTTCTTCCTCCTTACCCACCTCATGCTCATCAGTAGCGCCCTCTCCGCCTCATCCTGCTCCTCCCTTTGCTCCCATCAATTCTTTTCCGCGCCCTCGCCCTCCGACCACTCATGCCCTTGGCCTTCCTTCGTTTCGTATCTCTCACTCAAGAGACGGAGGAGGAGGGAGGCGATGGAGGGAGGATACTGGCAGGATGAGAAGGGGGGAGAGGAGTTGCCAGAGGAGGCGAAGCATGAGGAGGACAATGAGGAGGTGTTGAAGGGGTCGCTCCCCCCTCCTCTTCATTATCCTCCGCGTTTCTTCTCCGCCTCCGCCCTCCTCCTCCTCCTCCTCCTCTTCCTTCTCATATAGGAGAGGTAGAACGAAGACGGCGAGGATGAACAGGAGTGATACAACAGGAGGGCGATGCGGATGTGGATTGGCAGGGGCATCATTCCGACACGGCGCGAATATTGAACGTTCCAGACATCATCGACTTCCCCGTTTTCTGCGTATCACTCCTCCACTCCTTCCGTTTCCCCTTCACCCGATCATTCCCCCATCTTCTCTCCACATGTTAGGGACGAGGAGGAGAAAGAGATGAGTTATGCGAGGAGGAGGAGGAGGAGGTAGTGATGGGATCATGGCGGTGACGATGATTTACCCATCACCCTCATCATCTTCCTGTTCCTCATTATACCAATTGTCTGCCGCAGTCTCGGCATCATCCTCATCCGCCCCGCCTCATTATTCTCTTCCACCTCCTCACCTTCCTACACACCATCTGCCTCCTAGGCCCACTCTCCTAGGAAGCAGAGCAGGAGGTTGATGAGCAAAGGTTCATGTGCGCGCATACTCGCCTTGCTGCCTCCTCCTCCTCTTCCTCCTCCTCCTCCCACCCCGTTTCCTCCATTCTCCTCGTTCCTCCTCCCCTTGTTCGTCCGTCTAGAGGAAAGCCAGAACTTTGGAGAACAGCCAAAACAACCAAATAAACTGACGTGCTGGAAGCTGGAACCTTAGGAAATCCATTGGGAACAAAACAAGATCCCAGGGAACGCCGCCCGAGGGGAAACGTCCGAGGGGGGGTCATTATTTGTGGAAGTTTGTTTCTATTGTTTTCCATGGTTTTCCATTGTTCCAGCCTCCAGCACGTCAGTGTCTTTGTGTTGTATGTTGTTGTTCCTTATATTTTGATTTGTTTCCCACCGCCAACTTGAATACTGTATGTGCACTTCGCCCACAAAGCGGAGTCGGTGGCCCCCCGCAGAAGAACGCAGAGACGGAATATGATGAGGAGGATAAAAAGGACGGGGAGTGGATATGAGGGAAGGAACGGAGGACTGAAACGGTTCACCCCGAAGCCCCGAAGCCAAACCAAACCGAAAAGGAACAACTTCAACACGCGGGGTGCCGTTATGCCCCCACCCCATCCACGCCTACGGAAATACTTGAGGGATATCGAACGGAGGACGAAGAGGAGGAGGAGGAGCAGGAGGCACTGGAGGAGCACGGGCAGGAGGAGAAGAAGGACGATTGAGGAGCCCCAGCCCATTAGCGGAGCGCGCTCCGCTAATGGGAGCGAAGCAACGGGAGCTCTTTGGTTCGAGGCAAATTCTTAACGCTTCGCGTGTGCTTGCGTGATGCCTCGCGCGCCATTGTGGCTGTGCCTCGCTCTGTTCCGGTCTGTGGTGGACGCTGTTCACTTCGCTGATTTTTCTTTCGCTACGGCGCGGCCAGCCCTAGCGTGCTCGGCGCTCGACTTAGCTTCGCGCGCCCGCGTACCACAAATCCCCACCAGCCCATCCAGAGACGACGCCCAGACGAGTTGCCCTGACCAAAGAAGCGGGGTAGCATACAAGTGGGGAATCCTTGGCGCTTCTTTGGCGCCTCGTGGGGCACTTTTGAGAGCTGTTGGGGCGCTCTTGAAGCGTTCTTGGACGAGGTCGTTCAAAAAGGCCGAGTACCTAACTAACGTTGCCCTTCTTGAGTGCTCACAATCGCCGTTCCAGGTCCAGGGGAGGGGGTGAGGGGGAGGGTCAACCCCGCTCCGAAGAGGTAGAGGGAGGGGTGAAAGAGAAACGCGCTAGACAACTTACGTCCCGAGAGCTTGGGAACGTTTTGGGGAACATCGGTTAAATGAGGAGGGGTCCTCGATTGTCGCCCCCCCCCCCCCCCCCCCCCTCCCTCTCAGACCTCAAAATCGCATATTGGAACTGCAGTTGGGTTCTTTTGGAAGTCTTGGGGCCGATTTGGGACCCTCTCGGGACCCTCTTGGAGACATCTTGGGGCTCTCTCTCTCTCTCTCTCTTGGGAGCCCTGGAGCGCCTCTTTGGGCCATCTTCGAGACCATCGATCAAATGACAGAATGCTCCGATCTAGGCCCGCACACCGGGGTCCTCAAAAGCGCCTCTTCGAGCCCTCTTGGGGAGCTCTTGGAGCGATCCTGGGCGCTCTCGGAGCCAACTTTGGGGCCTCCTGGGGTTCTCTTGGGGCCTTTTTGAGCCATCTTGGTGCCATCTCGAGGCCTCAAGCGCGCATCGGAACAGCCAGACGGTAATTCTCATCAGTTTCTCAAGGTTTTTAAACGATTTTAAGCTTTTGCAGGGGTCCTGAGGGGTCTCCAAAAGCACTTGGAACAGTCTTGTAGCCTACTTGGGGCTTCTTGGAGGCATGCCGGAAGCTGTCTTGAAACATCTGCGACTGTCTTGAGCCATCTTGGAGGCCATTTTGGAGCACAGGAGGCTTCCTTGGAACCATCTTGGGCGAAAGCGGACGCCCTGACACCTCGCGACCGCCGCCGAAAAAGCCCAGGGAGGGGAGGGGGAAGGTGCCCCTCCCCGAAGGGAAGAGAAGAGGGTTTTCTGGTTCTCTTTGGAAGAGTAAAAAAAGATCTCGTTAGACCACCTATGCCCAAAGGGCTGGTGAGATTAGCGGCGCACCGCGCCGCCAATGAGGGCCAAACAATCCGATTCCTATGGTTCGAGGCCAACTAGGGGTGCGCGGTTCCGCTAAACAAGGACCCAAGCAATCCAAACCCCTTGGTTCGAGGCCAATTCGCGAAGTGCCGCTGTGGAAACGTGGACGCGGCAAACCCCAAGGCCTAGGAGGGGATTGCGATATTTGCTGCAAGCTGGTTTCGGCCCCGCCGCTGGGTTCGTTCCTGAATGCATTGTCGCCTGCGACGCTGGGAGGCGCCAAGACAACCAGCTACGTGAGCTGACTCGTTACCCCCACCACCAGCTTAACAAACACCCTTTTCGTCCGACCCGCGTGTTGGGGGGTCCCGCCCGCGTTTTTCAGTTGTGTGTGTGTCGTGTGGAAGGCGAGTTGCGCCAGGAGTGTCGGCTAACAAACGCAAGCATGCTGGGCTCGATGCGCTGGGGGTGCCCATGCAGCTGCGCAAGACGTGGCACGGCTCGCACCAGCCGCTGCCCAGCCTGATGGCAGTGTCCTCTAGTGCCCCAAGCTTCCCGTTGGACGAGGCCCCGTTTGGATCCGTGTTTCCCTTCTGTGACCAATTCGTCCTCCCCAGTCCGCATCTTTCTCTTGCGTTGCTGTGCGCATGTGCACTGTATGAAAGCCCTGACCCCCCCCCAAGAAGTACGCATGTTACGACGATCGAGGCCAGAAATGACAGATTGCGCCATCTACTTCATGCCATGGAGGCTGAGCCCAACAGGTTAGACATACCTCGTGTGTTCACACGAGTATTGCACGAGGTCTTGTCTGCCACCAGTGTGTTCACTTTCTACAACAAGGTGTCTCCATACAACGCCCTGTTCGGACGGCAGCCGGCAATGATCCCTGACTTACCTGTTTTGGACCACGACCAACCGACGGAAACGTCGGATCATTCTCGTGAACAGACGATACGCAGGGTATGCATTGAAGCTATCACACAGGCTACAGCAGCAGCCAAGACCTATCGCGCATTACGCGCTAAGGCAGCCGATCTGGTCAGCACTATTACGATGAAAGGGATTTAGTTGATTGCCGTCGCCCCACGACCACGAAGGACGACTGGGGAGGCTGGAGTGGCCCGTTCCCAGTTGTAGGAAACGATCCCGAAAGGGGCCAAGTCATCACTCGAGTGGGAAACTGCGATGTTTCAGGTCAATTACGGCGATGCACGCCATTCATTCGATATCGAAGCGATAATAGCCAGAAAAATTGGCTTCGACAGCACTGCGCTACGGACAGTCCCGACGTTCGTGGCGAAATTACCAGCGGGGGTACCTGCTATGACATGTGGTTATATACCGGCTAAGAAGGGGGCGCTTCAGATGACGAGTGCAAGCCGTCTATCCCCTAAGATACATCTAGCCTTACAGTACCTTGTCAAAACTTCCTCCGTATTCAGAATGTAGTTTCGGTCAGGCTAGCTAAAAGTATCCACGAGCTACCTCCGGTTACTGATGCTGACAGTTGCACATTGGCCCACTATACAACGATGTGAATCCAGCATTTCACTAATATGAAGCAGAAGGCATTGCGTTGAATATACTTTATATAGCTAGACCAGCGCATTCGAGAATCACCCAGTGCCTGAAGCCCACCAAACCTCAAGCAGGTTTTGACCAGGACATGACAACATTTGAGGAATTGGCGGGTGCACCGACACCGGATGGAACCGCAAGAAATGCTTCAGAAGCCGAACCACCACATGATGATGGACGGCTTCCCACGATCTACGAGGAATCGGAGGCTGATCTCGAGTCACGCGTCATGGAAGCGCGGCACGCATAACTACAAGACGAAAAGGAACTGCTGGAGGCAACTCCACCAGAGTGCCTTTTTTTACAACGCGCGCACATATGGTTCCAGACCGAAGTGCGCTGATCACTGTAGCTGATGAACAGCGGGGACGCCCGCCTGAGTGGGGGCGCGCGCGCGACTCTGACACCGAGGAGACGTATCACGCCCCAATGCTTTCCATGGTCGAAGACTGCAGCTACGGACTGGATTCAGACGAAAATGGACAGCATGTAGAACTCTGCTTCGCGGCAGAAATGTCAAAGGTAGCCCTGTCCGAGCAACGGCGCGTGATGTTGGATGCCGACCGCGCGACCACTATGCGAATGCACGTTGCCGCCGCGGCAAAACGAGCTGCGGTCGTCAAGGAAGACGACCTCCTCGCGAAGGCTGACATCCAGGGGGATCCCAAAGTATCGAAGGCCCTCTACACCGAGCTCAGGACATGGTTTGACAACAGATGCTTCAACGTGCAAGACATATCCAAAGCGTCAAACATCATGACTCCGAGGCGCGCGCACAAATGGAAGTTTGTGAAGAACGAGAGGGGCGAGATGGAGCGCACCATCAGATTGCGCCTGGAGCTTCGAGGCCCCGCGGGCCTCGAAGCCTTCGACGTGGGGGCCTTTTCGGAAACAGCACGGCTGTCAAGTCAGAGATTGCTCGCGAGCACGGCAGCGTGCGAGGAGCGATGGATCATTGCTCCCCTCGACATCAACATGGCCTTCCTGGAGGGATCGACCTGCCAGGAACCCGCCGAAGCAACTGGTGAAAAGGAACGCGCGGCGTGCTCTACTTTGCCGCCTGGATCGGCCAAGGCGCTTCGGGCCCCCCCAGGATTCGAACGGTGCGACGAGTCAAAGCATTGCTTGCAGCGCCCTAAACCAGGCACTGGCGCCAAAGACGCACCGCGGGCTTTTCTCGCTGAAGCTCAGCGAGACCGCGCGAGGTTTTGGTCTCCGACCCTTGCCCTACGACGAGGAGTTCGAGACGACCAGCAACGTGCTCACGGCCAAACATATTGATGATATCGACATGGCCGGCATTGGGGACACCGTTGACAAGTGTGTCAAGTGTGTAGAAGACACCTATGGCAATTGTAAGCCCAACAAACACACGTGCACCAATTGCGCTGTGAGATATACCAGGGATGAGGACGGCAATGCTACTTCGGACCAAGACGACTACATGAAGCAGCTCCGTCCTATACGACATCCTGGACTTGCCGGCGCCGGCGCTGACGCCCAGGCATCCAAGATGGTTGCAGATGCGATCGTTAGCCTCAGGGGTGCGCTGGCGCATGCGTTAAACACCCAGGTGCGGTTACTGGCGCGCGTTGTATCTCTGCAGCGTGTCCAAGAACCGACCAATATTCAAGTGCGACGACTGAGCGCGATGACCAGGAAGCTGCAGGCCTGCCCCAATAAGGTCGCCTTTCAGGCGATGACCCCTACGTGCGAGGTGGACCTGCACAGCGACCCAGGTTATCGACGCCTGAGTGGAGACGCCGATGGCGACGTCAAATGCTAGGGGTATTCGCGGGGCAAACCTGCTGCGGCCTGGAAACACGCCATCTGGTAAGCCCGTCGTCCACTTCATAGACGCGCACTGCAAGTCTCACCGCTTGCAGGCTCGCTCGAGTAATTCCGCAGAGGCACTCGCAGCAGCCCATCATTCGGAGGACTGTTATCCCACGATCGCGATTCTGCACGAGCTCCACGCAGGGCCGCTCACGCCCACTAAGTTGAAAGACGTACTTGAGTTGGGTGGCCCGAGCATCAAGGTCACTTCGACCATAGATGCTGGGTGTGTTGTAAAGTCCTTGTCAAGCGAAGACATGAATAAACCGACTGAGTGTACCCTTGTAGGACACGTCAGTTGGATGCGACAGGCGATGGAGCGTGGAACCGTGCAAAGTATTTAGTGGCGCGGCACCCGCGATATGACTGCGGACGGTCACACCAAGGGGAGCATCGACAGAGATGCCCCCGCAGGCCATGGGGGGCATACAGGCCTTCAAACATGACCTGAAGAGTCATACTCCATATCACGCCGGCCAGACATCTGGTTCTGTAGCCGCATGAGGAGTATCTTAAAGTACAGAAATTTACAGGCAAGGCAACCTGCGCGCGGGTCCACATTCCTTGCGGCCCCGCCCTTTCGCTGCCTTTTGTACAGATTAGCTGCCGCGCCTGCTGCATAGAGGCGGCGGGCTCGCGCTTCGCCCTCCCCCCCCCCCCCCCCCGACTCCAAAGCGAGCTGAGGACATAAGGGGCGGAAGCGAGCGCGCGCCCGCGGCCGCGTCGTCTCACGCGGCCGGCCGCCCAGATATGATTGCGCCTCATTGTGCGCATGCGATTAGCCATCGAGACCAAAAGGAACCTTCCTACTGCTTGAGATGGCACGCCCTCTACTACTCGGACTATCGTTACTACGGTACAACAGAGCTGGGGCTGGACTTCGCCTAAGGCGAAGCTGCTGGTTGGGCCCCCCAACCCCTTTTCAAATCCCATCTTGGAACCACCTTGAGGCCTCGGATGGCCATCGGAAGCGAAAAGGCGAGTAAGCAACAAACATAGATTTCGCCAAGGTTTTGGAAGGATGTTGTCCTCTTCGGGGCCTCCTTGGGGTGCTCTTTGGCTACTTCGAGCCGTCTTGTAGCGGTCCTGGGGCGTCTTGGATTATCTTGGGAGGCATCATGGGATATCTTTGGCCATCTTCGAGGTCTTTTGGGCTCGCCCAGGCGCTCTTTGTAGCCATCTTAATCAGTGCCCCTCCCCAGGAGGCCAAAATGTGGGCAAAACATTTGTACAAACGATGATTTTGGCATGCTCACCGTCGCCATTTTGGCCCAAGCCGCCACTGCTAAAGCGTTGGCTTCCCAGGAGCTGGCAAACAACAGTCATGACACATTATTTCGACAATGGGAAGGTGACAACGAAGGCCGTTTTCGACAGCTGGGGCGGTGCAAGCGCCGGCGTTGACTGGGCTGTTGTCCTTGGCTCAACGCTGAAGACACCGGAGGGCGACAAACCAACCGGCAGTGTATTGGCTAATAAGAGGCACGTGGCTTTGGTGTTCTCTGGCTCGTGGTGCCCTTGGTGCAGAGCCTTCGAGCCGATGCTGGAGGACATGTACAAGAAGGTGAAGGCGAACGATCCGAACGACACCGAGATCGTGTACGTCTCAGTGGACGCAGACTCAGTGGCATTCGATGAGGCTACTCGGGGCAAGCCGTGGCCGGCAATGCCATATGATATTTCGCAAGGCAATAGCACCGTTCCCGTCGGTTTTGTCCAGAGGAAGATTCGCGAGGAATCGGGTAAGCCCATGGGTACACTCCAAGCGAAGTACTCCCTTAGCAGCTTGCCATCTATCGTTGTTCTCGACGGCAAGACTGGCAACATTATTTCCAAAGATGTTCGGCAGGAGCTTGGCGACAATCCCGAGGATGGTTGTGCCTGGAAGCCATCGGCACCGGCGTCGTGGCTAGAGGCCACGGAAAACGCCGGTGTGGACCGGGCTGTCGTCCCGGGTTCAGCGCTGAAAACATTAGAGGGCGACAAACCAACCGGCATTGTTTTGGCTAGTAAGAAGTTTTGGTGCAGAGCCTTCGGCCGATGCTGGAGGTCTTCTGCACGGTGAAGGCGAGCGATCCGAACGACACCGAGATCTCGGCGGGCGCAGACTCGGCGGCATTCGATGCCGCTGCTCGGGGCAAGCCGTGGCCGGCAATGTCGTATGATATCTCGCAAGGCAATCGCGCCGCTCCCGTCGGGCTTGTCCAGAGGAAGACTCGCGAGAAATCGGACAAGACCATTGGTACACTCAAAGAATACGGCCTCGGCAGCGTGCCATCCATCGTCGCTTCCGACGGCAAGACTGGCAGCCTTGTGTGCAAAAATGGCAGGCAAGAGCTTGGCAGCAAGCCAGAAGATGATTGTAGAGTCGTGGTTCTAGTTTGGGCCATTAGAGGGATATGATTTGTCACATACAGGAAACATGCTCGAGCACAGCGAGCAATGAACTGAGCTTGTTCGACGTGTAGAACTGACGCCTGAGATAGGCTTACAGACGCAGCTATGTAGAAGTTTGCCGCCGCCACGGCATCGCGAGCAGTAACAACAATAAATGATTTTGGCATTCTCGCCGAGGCCTCTTGGGGCGTCTTGGGTGCCTCTGGGGGGCCTCTTTGGGCCTTTTGGGGGTCTCTTGGGAGCCTCTTGGGGGCATCCTGGGGGCCTTTGGGGGGCCTCTTGGGGCCTCCTGGGCACCTCTTGGGGCTCTCTTGTAGCGCCTCGGGATGGGCCATCTTGGAGGACGTCGATCACACAAGAGGAAAACTTGAATTAGCTACCCCCCCCAAGAGGCCAACATGGGGTCAAAACCTTAGTAAAACCAATGATTTGGGCTTCCTCGCCGGGGCCGTTTTGGACGCTCTGACGCCTCGCGACCGGCCCCGTCCAGGTCCAGGGGAGAGGGGTCAAGCTACCCACCCGCCCGCAAGCCGTCTAGCGCACTCCCACCCGCCCTCCCAACACATACGTGAGTAACACCCGAGCTTGAGCATGTTCAGCGGTTGTCTTTGGACGGACAGCTACTGGGAACCAAAGCCGACCACAGGTGCGCGACGCTTGGGCGAGTTGCGCCACGCGTGGCAGGGGCGCCACGCGCGCCAGGCACCCTTGGGGCCCGAGCGTGCCAGGCACGCCTGGTGCGCCACATGCGCCACTTGCTCAGAGTGCGCCGGGTGTGCCGCACACTCCAGCCGCGCCAGGTGCGCCATGTTCGGGGCACGTGCAGAATGCGTCAGGTGCGCCTGCGCTCGTGACAGCACACATCGGGAAACATGTCGGCACCCACCATCCTTGTCCAAAACCAATGCCCAACATTGTGTCTGGTGGGCCTGCGCACAGCAGGCCACGCGCCACCACCCCCGCGGTCCCTGTCGAAAACTATTTGACAGTGATCGCGGGATGGCCGCGCACGATCCAGATTTTTCCGCGAGGTGCGTGTTGTATTGTTTTTCGTCAGGGATGGTAGCCCTGCGCGCAGCAGGGAATATGCTGACCTGCCGTCCCTGTCAAAAATAGTAAACAGTGTTCGCGGGCCTTTCGAACATGCATGACTCAAGACTTTGCTCCGAAGTGTGTTTTCTACTGTTTTTTGGCAGGGATGGTGGGGGTGGGGCACATCGGGTTGACCGCGCATGCTTCAAATGTGGAGACAGAGTGCGGTTTGTAGTCTTTTTTTGGAAGAGATGGTGTGGGGCGGGCCGCCGTGTCCTCATGGTTCCTGGTTGGACGCCGGTCGCCTGGGGGAGGGGGTGTCTATTAACAAGGAACAGCCATAAACCCCTCCCCGAAGGGGACGAGGGGCAGATCGAAGACAAAACACCCTAGACCTAGACCACCTACGCCTTAAGCTGGTGGGATGGATTTAGCTACATGTGGAGAAACGCGCAGTTGTAATAAGAGAAACCCGCCTGTAAAACATTCTGTTCTGGTCAACATTAAACATCAGAATGAGGGGGCCGAATTGTCATTCATTGTCCCTGGGTGCGTGGCTGAAGTGGGGATCCGTGGTCAGGATGATTATTGTTACGTTGTTGTTGTTGTTGTTGTGGTTGTGGTTGTGGTTGTGGTTGTGGTTGTGGTTGTGGTTGTGGTTGTGGTTGTGGTTGTGGTTGTTGTTGTTGTTGTTGTTGTTGCTGTTGCTGTTGCTGTTGCTGTTGCTGTTGCTGTTGCTGTTGCTGTTGCTGTTGCTGTTGTTGCTGCTGCTGTTGTTGTTGTTGTTGTTGTTGTTGAATTCTCACTTCTGAAGAATACTTATTGTTGATCCCCCACACCGGCGCATACGGTTTTTTCAATCAAAGTGTGCCCCTCGACGCTCGCACCCTGTTTTTTGACAGGGGAAGTCTTCCTGCTCAAACTGGGCCCCCGGCCCCCGGGTTACAATAACAACGGCTCCCGCTTGAGACTTCCTTACAATTTAGGCAGGACCCCCGCTCCCGCCCGAAACCTCCTCGCATTTTATTCGGGAATCGAGCTCTCGCTTGGGACTTCCTTACAATGTATTCAGGAATCGCTCTCCCGAAGTTCTGGAGTCGCGCTCTCGCTGGAGACTTGCTTGCAACTTACAGAAGAATAGCATTGCGTTGGAATTTCTTGCAATTTGCTCAAGCGCCGCGCTCCCGACACCCAGGCACCCAGGAGTCGCGCCCGTTGTGGCCCCATGTGCTTGCCCTTCGTTGCCCCGCTGTCGCCATTTGTGTCCCCCTCACTGTCCTACGTGGCCTAGTTGCTACCCTCAGTGGCCCCATGGTTGCCTTCTGTGGCCCCGCATTATCTGCACTTCGTGGCCCCCGCTCGTTCGCGCTCTTCGTGGCCCCATACGCATTCCCTTCGTGTCCCCGCTGTCGCCCTTCGTGTCATTCGTGGCCCTGCTGTCGTTCTTTCTCGCTCTCGCTTTCGCTCGTCGTCGCCGTCGTCTTCGTCGTCGTCGTCGTCGTGGTCGGTCTCGTGTCCGTCCCTCTTGGGGTCGGGTCGACGGTCCGCGGCCGCCCCGCCGATCAGCGCTGCCGCTGGCCAGGCAGACGGTCCGCGGCCGCCCCGCCGCTTGCCGGGGCCCGGCCTGCAGGGAAGAAAGGTATACCCCCCAAAAGGGGTTCGATCGAAGACGAAGAGGGCGGGTATCGAGGGCTTTTGGGAAATACGCGTAATTGGACACTCGAGCATATGAGGGCGAACAGTCTTAAACTGATTGTTGTTGTTGTTGTTGTTGTTGTTGTTGTTGTTGTTGTTGTTGTTGTTGTTGTTGTTGTTGTTGTTGTTGTTGTTGTTGAATTCTCATTCTTGAAGAATAAGTATTGTTGATACCCCCACCGGTGCACATTGATGTTTTTTCGATTGAAGTGCCACCCCCGGGGCTCGCACTTCTGTTTTTCTCAAGGAAAGTCTTCCTGCTCAAACTGTGTCCCTGCCCCCCGGGCTACAACAACAACGGCTCCCGCTTTAGACTTCCTCGGTTTTTACTCAGGACCCCCGCTCCCGCCTGAGACTTCCGCGCAACTTACTCAGGAAAGGCGCCCCCGTCTGAGAATTCCTCGCAATGTAATCAAGACCCCCGCTCCCGCCTAAGACTTCCGTGCAATTTACGTGGGAACGGCGCTCCCGCGTGAGACTTCTTCGAATTTTACTCAGGACCCCCGCTCCTGCTTGACATTTCCGCGCAATTGACTCAGGAACGGCGCTCCCGCCTGAGACTTCCTCGCAATTTAGTGAGGACCCCCGCTCCCGCCTGAGACTTCCGTGCAATTTGCTCAGGAACGGCGCTCCCGCTTGAGACTTCCTCGCAACTTAGTCAGGGCCCCCGCTTCCGCTTGAGATTTCTTCACAATGTACTCAGGACTGCGCTCTCGCGTGCGACGTCCTCACAAATTATTATGGAATTGCGTTTCGGCGCTCAGGAACCACGCGCGCGCCAAGGACGCCTTCACAACGTGGTATCTTCCCTCTTCCTTCGTCCTTCCCCCTCCCCTTCCTCCCACTCTCCCTCGTTCTTCCCCTCCTCCTCTTGCAGGGCCCGCGCCAATTCCAATGGCGGGCAGAGAGATGTACGCCCCCGAAGGATTGTCCGCCCGTTCCGGTTTGCCCGTGCGTCTAAGCCCGCCGGCCCCAGCAAAGAAAAATAATCCCCCCGAGAGGGGTGTGATCGTAGACGAAGAGGGCGGGCATCGAGGGTGTAGGGTATACGTGTTGAATGACTCGCGGGCAAGTAAGAGCGTACAGCCTTAAAATGGTTGTTGTTGTTGTTGTTGTTGTTTTTGTTGTTGTTGTTGTTGGTGTTGTTGTTGTTGCTGTTGTTGTTGTTGTTGCTGTTGTTGTTGTTGTTGAATTCTCACTTCTGAAGAATAGTTATTGTTGATCCCCCCACTGCTGCATACTGTTTTTCTCAATCAAAGTGTGCCCCTCGACGCTCGCACCCTGTTTTTTGACAGGGGAAGTATTCCTGCTCAAACTGGGCCCCTGGCCCCCGGGGTACAACATCAACGGCTCCCGCTTGAGATTTCCTTACAATTTAGGCAGGACCCCCGCTCCCGCCCGAAACCTCCTCGCATTTTATTCGGGAATCGAGCTCTCGCTTGGGACTTCCTTACAATGTATTCAGGAATCGCTCTCCCGGCGCTCTGGAGTCGCGCTCTCGCTGGAGTGTTGCTTGCAACTTACAGAAGAATGGCCTTGCGTTGGAATTTCTTGCAATTTGCCCAAGCGCCGCGCTCCCGACACCCAGGCACCCAGGAGTCGCGCCCGTTGTGGCCCCATGTGCATGCCCTTCGTGGCCCCGCTGTCGCCATTCGTGTCCCCCTCACTGTCCTACGTGGCCCAGTTGCTACCCTCAGTGGCCCCATAGTTGCCTTCTGTGGCCCCGCATTATCTGCACTTCGTGGCCCCCGCTCGTTCGCGCTCTTCGTGGCCCCATACGCATTCCCTTCGTGTCCCCGCTGTCGCCCTTCGTGGCCTACTTCGTGCCCTTCGTGGCCCTGCTGTCGTTCTCTCTCGCTCTCGCTTTCGCTCGTCGTCGCCGTCGTCGTCGTCGTCGCCGTCGTCTTCGACGTCGTCGTCGTCGTCGTCGTCGTCGTCGTCGTCGGTCCCCTGTCCGTCCCTCTTGGGGTCGGGTCGACGGTCCGCGGCCGCCCCGCCGATCAGCGCTGCCGCTGGCCAGGCCGACGGTCCGCGGCCGCCCCGCCGCTTGCCGGGGCCCGGCCTGCAGGGAAGAAAAGTATACCCCCCAAAAGGGGTTCGATCGAAGACGAAAAGGGCGGGTATCGAGGGTTTGGGAAATACGCGTTATTGGACACTCGAGCAGATAAGGGCGAACAGTCTTAAACATATTGTTGTTGTTGTTGTTGTTGTTGTTGTTGGTTTGTCGCTGTTGAATGTTAATTTTCTAAACAACGAGGTTCACGCTCGAGCGGTTTGGGGGGGCGCCAAAACCGGCCCTCCAACAACAACAACAACAACAACAACAACAACAACAACAACGTTTCCGCTCGAGACTTCTTCCTTGTTTACTCAGGGCTGATTTTCTTGCTCGCCGCCGACAGCCGCCGTCCTAACAAAACCAGCGCTCCCGCTCGA